TAGTTAGAGTTAGAAGACAAAAATGTTAAAATGACTATGACTGTAAGAACTAAAACTATAAAACTCTTATAAGAAAATATAGAGGGAAGTTTCATGATACTAGATTTGGCAATGATTTCTTTGATTAGATAGCTAAAACACAGACAATAAAAGAAATAGATAACTTGGGCTACGACAAAATTAAAAATGTTTGTGTGTTGAAAAACACCATCAAGAAAAAGAAAAGGCAACCCACAGAATGAGAAAATATTTGCAAATAATATATCAGGTAAGTGATTAATGTCCAGAATATATAAAGAATTCTTACAACTTGAAAACAAAAAATAAATAAACCAACTAAAAACTGGGCAAAGGACTAAAATATACATTTTTCTGAAGAATATATACAAATTACCGGTAAGGACATGAAAGATGCTCAATAATCATTAGGAAAATCGAAATGAAAACCACAATGAGATACCATTTCATTAGGCTGGCTATTATGGAAAACAAAATAACAGGTGCTGACAAGTATATAGAGAAATCAGAACCTTTGTGCATTGCTGATATGAATATAAGATGATATAGCCATAGTCACTGGGGAAAACAGTATGTCATTTCCTCTAAAATGAAACAGTTACCATATGATCCAGAAGCTTTCCTTCTGTGTATATACTCAGAATACAATGGAACATCTTTAAAATTCTTAAAGGAAATAGGGGTGCCTGGGTGGCTCAATTGGTTAAGCCTCTGCCTTTGGCTCAAATCATGATCCCGGGGTCCTGGAATTGAGCCCTGCTTTGGGTCCCTGCTTGGCGGGGAGCCTGCTTCTCCCTCTTCCTCCACTACTTACCCTGCTTGTGCTGTCTCTATCAAATAAATAAAATTTTAAAAAATTCTTAAAATAACTTGTAATATGGAATTCTGTATTCAATGAGAATCTCTTTCAAAAGTGAAGGTGAAATAAAGACATTTAAGGCAAACAAATAATGAAGGAATTTATTGCCAGCAGATCTATATTAAAACAAATACTGAAGACAGACAATACCAAGACCAGCAGGGATATTAAAAAACTGTAAAGACAGGTTACAACGAGTACAATAAAGAAAGAAAAAGATAAAATATATAAAATTTAGAAAGGAAGAAATAAAATATATTTGCTGACCACATGCTTGGTACTTAGAAAATCCAAAAGAATCTATTAGAATAAAGTGAATTTATCAAGGCCTAGATGTGAAGTAAATAAATAAAAATTAGTTGTATTTTTTTATCAGCAAAAAACAAGTAATAAACTTTTTAAGATGATACTGTTTGACACATCCCAAAAACATCAATACCTAGAAATAAGCCTATCTAGAAATAAGTCTAATGAAAGATACATAAGACATCTACACTGAAAACTATAAATACTATTAAATAAACTAAAGAAAATCTAAGTACATGGAGAGATACATAAAATGTTCAAGGATTAAAAGGCTCAGTACTGTTAAGATGGTCAGTTCTCCCCCAAATTAATCTATAGATTCAGTGCAATTTCAGTCAAAATACTACCAGGGAGAGAAAGTGTGTGTATGAATGAACAACTTTATTCTAAAATGTGTGTGGAAATACAAAGAGACAATCCTACTCTGAAGGAGAACAAAACTAGAAAACTTACAGCACCAGGTAACAATTTCTGTTATATAAGTACTAGTGTAGTGTTGGTATAAGGATAGAAAAATAAGGGCAACCTGGGTGGCTGAGCGGTTTAGCGCTGCCTTCAGCCCCGGGCGTGATCCTGGAGACCTGGGATCAAGTCCCACATTGGGCTCCCTGCATGGAGCCTGCTTCTCCCTCTGCCTGTGTCTCTGCCTCTCTGTGTCTCTCATGAATAAATAAATAAAATTTAAAAAAAAAAAGAAAAATAGGCCAGTGGAACATAAGAAAATCCAAAAATAAATTAGCATATATGTAGTCACCTGATTTACAACAAAGGGTGATGCTGGAATGCAATGGGTAAAGGATGATCTTTTTAATAAATGATACTGAGTCAATTTGATATTGATATGGGAAAAAATGAAGTTGTATCTCTTCTCACACCATGCATAAAAATCAATTCCAGATGGATCATAGACCTAGATGTAAAAGGCAAAACATTAATGCTCCTAGAATATATAGGAGAATACTTTTATGATTTCAGGATGGCAAAGACTCATAAAACAATAAAAGCTCTAATTAGAAAAAAGATTAGACTAAATTAAAATAAAAACTCTGTTCATTCAAAGACATCAGTGTGAAAAGGCATGCCACACACTTGACAGGATGAGCACTGGGTGTTATTCTATATGTTGACAAATTGAACACCAATAAAAAATAAATTTATTAAAAATTAATTAATTTTTAAAAAGGCATGCCACAGAGTAGAAGACAGTATTAGCTATATATCTAATAAAAGATTTGTTTCTGGAATACATAAAGAACTAAAATACATTTTTTAAATGGGCAAGAGATTTGAACACTTTACTAAAGAAAATATTCAAATAGCCAATAAATGTGTGAAAATATATTAGTCACCACGAAAATGCAACTTAAATCCACAATGTAACATCACCAGAATAACTAAAAGGAAAAAGAAGATACCAAGGTTAATAAGGACTTGAATAGTATTAAAGAGTATTTGGTTCAAATTCCAACTATGCCACTTGCTAGCTGTGTGACTTTGGGAAAACCTTCCTGGGTCTTAGTGTCAACACCTGTAAAATAAGAATAACAAATATTTCATAGTGTTGTGGAAATCTAATGTAATGATTCATGTCAAGTGCTTAACATAATCCAGCTTGTATAAGCTATTATATCATTTAATCCTCACAATAACCAATAAATTTAGCAATATTATATTATTACAGATAAGGAAGTTGAGGCCTAGGGAGATAAATCACTTCTCACAGTTATTAAAAGATAAAGGGAAGAGTGAAACACATTTCTATCTCAGCTCCAAACTCCTTGCTCTTAGTTACCAAGCCTACAACTCCCTACCAATTCCTCTCTTGGCAGGTATGTAAAGAGAGTATTGAGTAGTTGCCAGGCATGAATATTACTTGACACAGCATCAATCTTCTCTTAATAGCTGCTAACATGTACATTTGTTGTTCAGACTCCTTATCTAGGATTTGAAGTTCTACTGCGTGGTCTGCTTGCTTGAATTCCAGTCCTCCTATCCTAACCATGACATAGCTATAGATTTTTTAAAAGATTACTTTATTGATTTTTTAGAGAAAGAGAAAGGAGGAGGAGGGAGAAAGGCAGAGGGGGAGGGAGAGACCATCTTAAGCAAACTCTATGCTAAGTCCGGAGCCAGACTTGGGACTCAATTTCACAACTCTGAGATCACAACCTGAGTGGAAACCGAGAGTCAGACAGACGCTCAACCCACTGAACCACCTATGTGTCCCAACATAGCTGTAGACTTTAAAATATGCTGCCTGGCTTTTTGTATGATTCTTGATATTATGTTTGCCTATTCTTGTCCATCTGCCTAGTTATGACTCATAGTTTCTCCTTATTTAGGTCACAGCTCAAATGTCACCTTGATCACTGTAATATCATCCGGGTTTATTTTCTCCAGTACTTCATCACAATCTGAAAATACTGTTTATTGTTTTCCTCTTCCAACAAGAATATAAGATCCATGAGAGCAGAAACCTACATTTGTTTTATTTTGTTTTGCTGCTTTATCTTCAGAGCCCAAAAGAATAGACATTCAATAATCACTGTGTGGATGGACTTTGTGACCTGACCTCACAACTCTTTTGCACTCCAGCTTAATTTTTTTAATGATTCTAACCCTCAGTCTGTCCTTTCAGAACCTGACACAGCTTAGGTGATTTACCTACCCTCTTTGTACTTGGAACTTACCAGTTAGCTTCTAGTCTAACAGTTAATGACAGGTTGTCATTCTAATGACCAGGTAGTTTTTATATTCCCTTTCATTAAAATGGAATTTTACTTTAAAGGGACTTAGAAATCTAATTTTTTTCATCACATTTAAAAAGTAAATGTTATTTTCTGTTTTAATGTCATAAATTAGTTATGATCCCTTATAAGATTTTTACACACTAATATTTTATTCCATTAAAATGAGGCAATATATGTAAAGCACCTGGCATATGTGGTAGGTACTCAAATATTAATGCTCCTTTTCATTAAAAATTTTCATTACTAAAATTGCTTGCCTTTTAAAAAATATAGATACTTTAAATACTGTGGGGTTTGGTCTTATCAAGTACCTAAAAATTAAGACTTAAAGCTTTTAATTTTGTCTTCATTAGTAACTCAGGAACTGAAAGATATTTTTATGGCAGATACTCTTCCTATGCTCAAAAGCATCAAAAATCACAGAGAAGGTAGAAACAACAGATAATTTAGAAGTCCAATGCGCTATCCATTGTGCCACGGAGCCACCTACAACAGATAATTTAAATAAGTTTCCAAACCTAAATCTTCTAATGTGGTCCTATTTCATACCCTTTTTTTTTTAGTTCATTCTTATATTCAGAATAAAATTTATTTTATTTAAATGTTGACCCTCAAATCTTTCAAATGGATCACAAATAAAGACTGTATGTATCAGTAACTTATAGATGTAGGTATTAATATTGTTGATCATATTTAATTTTTAAAAAGTTTGGACTCTTTTCTGACATGAATGTGACTAAAGATAGAGTAAAGCAATTGTGGAAATTATTTCAGTGCATAAAATAAAGAACTGAGTTTTCTGATATATGCTTTTAAGATATGACCCACCATTATGAACTACTGAGAAGTATTAAATTTCTGTGTGACAATGGTTTTTAAAATTTATGATTTTGCTTCATAACTTTACAATGAATATTTGGAGTTGTCTTAACCATAAAAATATCTGACTTGACTGTGATACAACTTTATGATAAAAAAATCATTAAAAATTAATCCCATTTAACCATGTCTGTTTCAGATAGATTTACAGTACTATTTTTTCAAACTATTTTTCTTTTAAATATTAGCATGTACACCATAGAACCACAAAATGAACATTTGGAGGATAAAAACACCCCATCATCTACAACTCTTCAGGTAAAAACCTAAAACTATTTTGTAATACATGACATAAAAATCAATCTGATCTTAAAATTTATCTTTCAAGTTTACTTATTAGGCTTCTATTATATGTCTGGTTAAAAAATAAGAACTGGTCATTATTTTAAAATATTTTGTTTATTTAACAAAGAGAAAATGAGAGCATAAGCAGGGGGAGCAGCAGAGGAAGAGGGAGAAGCAGGCTCCCTTCTGAGCAGGGAACCTGATATGGGACTCGATCTCAGGACTCTAGGATCATGATCTGAGCTGAAGACAGACACCTAACCAACTGAGCCACCCAGGCACCTCGAGAAGTGGTCATCTAAAAATAACTAAAAATAACTAAATAAGTCCTAAGAAATTAGCAGAAGGAATAAAAAGATGGAAAGGGGTGACTAAAGATTATTTTGGAGCTAAAGAGGGCAGATTTTAGGAATAATGGATATGGCTTATTATTTCTTCCATATCTAGGAAAAACTCAGTAACTTAGACTACATGAGGTCAAGACAAATTAAATGTGCTGTGTATTTGAAGAGAACCAAATTTTTATTTTTCCAACTGTATAGAGCAAGTCATATACCTTCTTTTGGTCCAGTTTTACTGCATAATAATTGCCCATAATAAGAATGATAAATTTTTTACTTTTTAAAAATTTGTTTACTTTTTAAAAGAGGTTTCTATAGTTCTTAGGGGCCCAAATGTTCTTCTTTTGTATATTTAAAATATTTGCCATTGATTCTAATTATTTATCTGTAAAGACCTTATCCTAGTCTATGTCAGTTTCTTATAAAATCTGAAATAATAAAACTTAAAATAATATGGTCTTACCTAATATGACCTTTTACCCACACTAATCAAAATTCACCTTTGTGTCTTTACCTTGCCCTTTTGTATAGTGACAGACTTTCCAAAATGTCTCTATACTAGAAATCCAACAAATTAATCATGATTAGATATAGAGAAGTATGTTATTAATAAAGCTACATAATTCATTTATATTAGCTGCAGTGGTGCCTCTGCCTCCCTAGTCATTAAATGTTTCCTCTTCCCTTCCTTAATCTGTCCATGCCTCTAGCCTTTGTTACCATTTCTTGTGACAATGCAATATTCTCTCTCCACTGCACTTAAAGTATTATCAATACACTCAAAGTGATGGCCTGTGTGTGCAGGTACATACATGCACATTCATGCACACACATACACACAAATACACACATACTACATCATGGTGACAATAAGGCAAATTTGAAGATTTCTATTTCAGGGTTAACTCCGTTTTGTTTTGTTTTTTATTTTTGTCTTGTTTTGTTTACCTTGGAAGAAGCCTCTCAATTTCTCACAAACTAAGATGTCTTTTTTTTTCCTAAATCAGCAGTTTCATAATTAGACTGACTACCATTTAAAAGCCTGAAGATGTAGCTAAACTCATGAACTACCTAAGGGTGTTATCTATAATTAATAGTGGGAGCATGAACCTTAAATTTCTGAAAGCCTGATCTACTTTTCTCATTTTTCCAGTTATATAATTTTTCAAATGAAATGAGTCTAAGTAAAATTATATTTCACCTCCTTTCCAACTTAGTTGTATTTTCATTCTACTAAAGTTTTATTGAGTAATCTGTGGAGGTAAGACTAAAGAGGGACACTTAATTATTCTGCCTACACTATAGGCTCACTTATTCAATATGCACAAATCACAAATGAAAATGGCAGGGATTCAAATCTATAAAAGCTAAATCAACATGCACTACAAAGTGCACTCCTGTGACATCCCCAAATACCTAATGATATAGTGCATGAATATTCTTTTATATGTGTAATTTTCATGGTGACAGTAATAATATGAATTTAATTATGAGATTAGGTGGTTTTGTACATTCATAAAATTGCATGGAAAATGTATTTCTTAAAAGATGTCCTTGCTTTACTTCAGAACCTCAAAGATAGTAATAATAAACATGAAGAAACTACGGAAACTGTCTTGTCACAAACAGAGGAAATAAAACCACAGATGGAAAAGAAGTATTCTTGTCCTCCACAAGGAATATTAAATAAAGTTATTACAAATGGTATGTGAAATTAGAAATGTAAGTGGAGAGAAAATGAGAGATATATTTGATAAATATTAAAATATAAACCAACAAAGCCACTGCTTTATCTATATATACCAGATCAAATCAGCTGCATACCTCAGCTATATACTTCAGCTCTTATTACAAGCAATTTGTGGACAAAAAGGAAATATTTCCTTAACTCTGTCAGAATAATAATTGCTTAACAGATATATGTTTTAATGTTTTTCATGACTTCTTATATTAAATCTTGGGGATTATAAACAGCATTTATTAAGGGGATGGCTCAGTCGGTAGAGTATCCAACTCTTGATCTCAGGGCTGTGATCTCAAGCCCCATATTGATTGGGTGTGCAGTCAGAAAGAAAGAAAGAAAGAAAGAAAGAAAGAAAGAAAGAAAGAAAGAAAGAACATTGATGAAAGATTTTTATTTAAAGCCTACTTTTGATATTTAGTTTTTTTAAGATCTATTTATTTGAGAGATAGAGAGAGAGTATGAGTATGAGTAAGGGGAGGGGCAGAGGGAGAGAATATCAAGCAGACTCCCCACTGAGCCCAGAGCCCAGTGTGGGGCTTGATCTCACAATCCATGAGATCATGACCTGAGCCAAAATCAGCAAACAATCAGCTGAACCACCCAGGCATCCCTGATATTTAGTTTTAAGTCAGCTGGAAGGAATATTCCTGGAAATATTAAGGTTCTTAATAAAATTAGGACCCACATTTTTATTTTTTTATTTTTTAGTATTATTTTTTTAATAAATTTATTTTTTATTGGTGTTCAATTTACCAACATACAGAATAACACCCAGTGCTCATCCCGTCAAGTGCCCCCCTCAGTGCCCATCACCCATTCACCCCCACCCCCTGCCCTCCTCCCCTTCCACCACCCCTAATTCATTTCCCAGAGTTAGGAGTCTTTATGTTCTGTCTCCCTTTCTGATATTTCCCACACATTTCTTCTCCCTTCCCTTATATTCCCTTTCACTATTATTTATATTCCCCAAATGAATGAGAACATACACTGTTTGTCCTTCTCTGATTGACTTACTTCACTCAGCAAAATACCCTCCAGTTCCATCCACCTTGAAGCAAGTGGTGGGTATTTGTCGTTTCTAATGGCTGAGTAATATTCCATTGTATACATAAACCACATCTTCTTTATCCATTCATCTTTCGATGGACACCGAGGCTCCTTCCACAGTTTGGCTATTGTGGACATTGCTGCTAGAAACATCGGGGTGCAAGTGTCCCGGTGTTTCATTGCATCTGTATCTTTGGGGTAAATCCCCAACAGTGCAATTGCTGGGTCATAGGGCAGGTCTATTTTGAACTCTTTGAGGAACCTCCACACATTTTTCCAGAGTGGCTGCACCAGTTCACATTCCCACCAACAGTGTAAGAGGGTTCCCTTTTCTCCGCATCCTCTCCAACATTTGTTGTTTCCTGCCTTGTTAAGTTTCCCCATTCTCACTGGTGTGAGGTGGTATCTCATTGTGGTTTTGATTTGTATTTCCCTGATGGCAAGTGATGCAGAGCATTTTCTCATGTGCATGTTGGCCATGTCTATGTCTTCCTCTGTGAGATTTCTCTTCATGTCTTTTGCCCGTTTCATGATTGCATTATTTCTTTCTTTGCTGTTGAGTTTAATAAGTTCTTTATAGATCTTGGAAACTAGCCCTTTATCTGATACGTCATTTGCAAATATCTTCTCCCATTCTGTAGGTTGTCTTTGAGTTTTGTTGACTGTATCCTTTGCTGTGCAAAAGCTTCTTATCTTGATGAAGTCCCAATAGTTCATTTTTGCTTTTGTTTCTTTTGCCTTCGTGGATGTATCTTGCAAGAAGTTACTGTGGCTGAGTTCAAAAGGAGTGTTGCCTGTGTTCTCCTCTAGGATTTTGATGGAATCTTGTCTCACATTTAGATCTTTCATCCATTTTGAGTTTATCTTTGTGTATGGTGCAAGACAGTGGTCTAGTTTCAATCTTCTGCATGTGGATGTCCAATTTCCCCAGCACCATTTATTGAAGAGACTGTCTTTCTTCCAGTGGATAGTCTTTCCTCCTTTATCGAATATTAGTTGACCATAAAGTTCAGGGTCCACTTCTGGGTTCTCTATTCTATTCCATTGATCTATGTGTCTGTTTTTGTGCCAGTACCACACTGTCTTGATGAACACAGCTTTGTAGTACAACGTGAAATCTGGCATTGTGATGCCCCCAGATATGGTTTTCTTTTTTAAAATTCCCCTGGCTATTCGGGGTCTTTTCTGATTCCACACAAATCTTAAAATAATTTGTTCTAGCTCTCTGAAGATAGTCCATGGTATTTTGATAGGGATTGCATTAAACGTGTAAATCGCCCTGGGTAACATTGACATTTTCACAATATTAATTCTGCCAATCCATGAGCATGGAATATTTTTCCATCTCTTTGTGTCTTCCTCAATTTCTTTCAGAAGTGTTCTATAGTTTTTAGGGTATAGATCCTTTACCTCTTTGGTTAGGTTTATTCCTAGGTATCTTATGCTTTTGGGTGCAATTGTAAATGGAATTGACTCCTTAATTTCTCTTTCTTCAGTCTCATTGTTAGAGTATAGAAATGCCACTGATTTCTGGGCATTGATTTTGTATCCTGCCACGCTACCAAATTGCTGTATGAGTTCTAGCAATCTTGCGGTGGAGGCTTTTGGGTTTTCTATGTAGAGTATCATGTCATCGGCGAAGAGGGAGAGTTTGACTTCTTCTTTGCCAATTTAAATGCCTTTAATGTCTTTTTGTTGTCTGATTGCTGAGGCTAGGACTTCCAGTACTATGTTGAATAGCAGTGGTGAGAGTGGACATCCCTGTCTTGTTCCTGATCTTAGGGGAAAGGCTCCCAGTGCTTCCCCATGGAGAATGATATTTGCTGTGGGCTTTTCGTAGATGGCTTTTAAAATGTTGAGGAATGTTCCCTCTATCCTTACACTCTGAAGAGTTTTGATCAGGAATGGATGCTGTATTTTGTCAAATGCTTTCTCTGCATCTAATGAGAGGATCATATGGTTCTTGGTTTTTCTCTTGCTGATATGATGAATCACATTGATTATGTTACGAGTGTTGAACCAGCCTTGTGTCCCGGGGATAAATCCTACTTGGTCATGGTGAATAATGTTCTTAATGTGTTGTTGGATCCAATTGGCTAGTATCTTGTTGAGAATTTTTGCATCCATGTTCACCAGGGATATTGGTCTGTTATTCTCCTTTTTGTTGGGGTCTTTGTCTGGTTTTGGAATTAAGGTGATGCTGGCCTCATAGAATGAATTTGGAAGTACTCCATCTCTTTCTATCTTTCCAAACAGCTTTAGTAGAATAGGTATGTTTCTTCTTTAAATGTTTGATAGAATTCCCCTGGGAAGCCATCTGGCCCTGGACTCTTGTGTCTTGGGAGGTTTTTGATGACTGCTTCAATTTCCTCCCTGGTTATTGGCCTGTTCAGGTTTTCTATTTCTTCCTGTTCCAGTTTTGGTAGTTTGTGGCTTTCCAGGAATGCGTCCATTTCTTCCAGATTGCCTAATTTATTGGCGTAGAGCTGTTCATAATATGTTTTTAAAATCGTTTGTATTTCCTTGGTGTTGGTAGTGATCTCTCCTTTCTCATTCATGATTTTATTAATTTGAGTCTTCTCTCTCTTCTTTTTAATAAGGCTGGCTAATGGTTTATCTATCTTATTAATTCTTTCAAAGAACCAACTCCTGGTTCTGTTGATCTGTTCCACAGTTCTTCTGGTCTCAATTTCGTTGAGTTCTGCTCAAATCTTTATTAACTCTCTTCTTCTGCTGGGTATAGGATCTATTTGCTGTTTTTTCTCTAGCTCCTTTATGTGTAAGGTTAGCTTCTGTATTTGAGTTCTTTCCAGTTTTTGAATGGATGCTTGTATTGCGATGTATTTCCCCCTCAGGACTGCTTTTGCTGCATCCCAAAGATTTTGAACGGTTGTATCTTCATTCTCATTAGTTTCCATGAATCTTTTTAATTATTCCCTAATTTCCTGATTGACCCTTTCATCTTTTAGCAGGATGGTCCTTAACCTCCACGTGTTTGATGTCCTTACAAACTTCTTGTTGTGATTTAATTCTAATTTCAAGGCATTATGGTCTGAGAATATGCTGGGGATGATCCCAATCTTTTGGTATCGGTTCAGACCTGATTTGTGACCCAGTATGTGGTCTATTCTGGAGAAAGTTCCATGTACACTTCAGAAGAATGTGTATTCAGTTGAGTTTGGATGTAAAGTTCTGTAGATATCTGTGAAATCCATCTTGTCCAGTGTATCATTTAAAGCTCTCGTTTCTTTAGAGATGTGCTTAGAAGACCTATCTAGTAGAGAAAGAGCTAGATTGAAGTCACCAAGTATAAGTGTATTATTATCTAAGTATTTCTTCACTTTGGTTATTAATTGATTTAAATATTTGGCAGTTCCCACATTCGGGGCATATATATTGAGGATTGTTAAGTCCTCTTGTTGGATAGATCCTTTAAGTATGATATAGTGTCCCTCTTCATCTCTCACTACAGTCTTCGGGGTAAATTTTAGTTTATCTGATATAAGGATGGCTACCCCTGCTTTCTTTTGAGGACCATTTGAATGGTAAATGGTTCTCCAACCTTTTATTTTCAGGCTGTAGGTGTCCTTCTGTCTAAAATGAGTCTCTTGTATACAGCAAATAGATGGGTCCTGCTTTTTTATCCAGTCTGAAACCCTGTGCCTTTTGATGGGGTCATTAAGCCCGTTCACGTTCAGAGTTACTATTGACAGATATGAGTTTATTGTCATCATGATATCTATTCAGTCCTTGTTTTTGTGGATTGTTCCATTGGTCTTCTTCTTAAAGGGGAATTTTGAGAGTCCCCCTTAAAATTTCTTGCAGAGCTGGTTTGGAGGTCACATATTCTTTCAGTTCCTGCCTGTCTTGCAAGCTCTTTATCTCTCCTTCCATTTTGAATGAGAGCCTTGCT